AATCATAAAAAGACATAATAAGAAAATCCTAGAAAAACGCGCATACCAAAACAGTGATAAAACTCATAAACTAAATTTGGATAAAAATAACGAAAAATTATGTGATTGTAGAAACCCTAAAAACTTCCCGTTGGAAAATAAATGTCTCACAAAATCTGTCGTATACCAATGCACTATCTCATCCATTAAGAGTCCTAACACTGATAGGATATACATAGGCTCAACGAAGAATAATTTTAAAATTAGATGGAGGCAACACAAGAGCTCCTTCAACAATATTCAAAATAGAAATCAGACATCTCTATCCCAATATTTCTGGCATCTAAAAGAAACGAATAAAACACCAAAAGTAAAATGGAAAATAGTAAATAAAACAAGAACCTGTAAAACCTGGGATGACCCATGCCCTTTATGCTTACAGGAAAAACTACACATCATTAAATTTCTAAATAACGAAAAATTATTAAACCATAGGCAGGAGTTAACGGTTTTTTGCCGACATCAACAAACTTTCGCATTAAATAATTAGCATAAAAAAAATCCCATAGCTAAGTAAAATTCTTAAAAGCTTAGCCAAATCATTAAATAGGAAAAACCCTTTTTGTAGTCGTCAAAAAACAAAAAACAAAAAAAAAAAAAAAAACACAAAACAAATTGAAATTCAGTGCAATACGATCTGTATATAAACACTCACTTGAATAAACAAATAAATAAATAGATAATCAGATGGACAATAATAAAAAATTCTCCAGACACATAACGACTTGTAGGCGCGCCATAAAAATATCCCTCACTGGGAACCAACTAAAGGGTGACCGCAAACATTAGCCTTGAAATAGATACCCTACCCAACCTTAGCAAAACCTCTCAGAAGATAATGAATCTATTGATAAGAATTACCTCTCTGACCACTTAACGAAGGAAAATAGTCTAGCCACTCCCACAATAACGAATTTTGTAACAGACCGTGCCTAAAAACACACGTAAACCGAGAGATAGCTTATTCCTAAAATTTCGCTTGAAGATGAAACGGAACTAAACACCACAATTCAACTTAATTTTAATAATTATTTGGATGATTTCGGCTCTCGTTTTTGAAACATGAGAACTCTTATGTAGCGAAGGAATCATATTTTTAAACAAAAATAAAAAATATATATATATATATATATATATATATATATATATATATATATATATATATATAATGAAATATAATTTTATGGTATGCTATATTTATGGGTTAAAGTTCTCAATATCAGGGCTAGAGTGTATGTAAATATATAAAAGTGGACAAGGAGGTCAATACTAAGTGTCGACAGTCTGTTTTCTGTTTGAGCGCACTCTTTAAGCTTGAAGATAGCTTTCAATCCTAAAACAGACTGTCTTCTCTCGGTTTTGATCTCAGTGTCCACTCATATGTATATACATGTGTGTGTTTGTGTGTGTGTTCATTTTATACCCTTTTTCACCCATTTCAAGACCCAGAAGATATTCAATATAGAGTATTACTGAATGAGAAGTGCATATTATGAGGATATACAGGATAGATAACGGTTGACCCTAGACTTGAGGTTCTTAAGGTCGTAGCAATCTGGAAAGCATTCTCTTAGGAGCCTCTTTCCCAAAAGTAACAGTTATAAGGAGCTAGTTTTCCGCATAGAACTCCCATCTTACAAATGGAATCGGAGGAGCATGAAGATATGTCTATTTTATGTACCTCGTGTGGGCAGCCGTAGCTGTAAATTCTTGGACGGGTACGTATTGAAAATCACATATTGTTTTTATTTTATTTTTCTTCTGATACTTACAAGTATTTTTTTTTTCTTACTGAAGATTCAAGATTGGTAATGTATTTCCCGATATGATAATCCCGTCTACTTAAAGCCCCCCCCACTTCCAGAAAAAGAAACAAATCGACAACAATGAGAGAAAATTTGCACCACTTGAAACTGTCCGAACATCTTGAGAACAAAAATTGCCAATCAGATTACGTCGTTACAAGTACATGACCAATAATCCATATTCTAGAATATAACGCTGGAGAAAACAAACACCTATTCCTGTGGAAAATAAACTTTTACTCCTTGAAAATAGTGAAAGCGACTCTGAACGTACTTAGAGAAGCAATATCGGACAACAGATCTATAATTGTGAATAATCTGTAAAACTAAAAGATATGAAAAGAAAAAAAAACATGTATTTTATCAAATAATTTTTTCAGCGTGTGACAGTTTTAAGATTTTTGTCATATTATAGATTCACTCTATACAAGGCCCAAGGGCCACTTGTAGTAGAAGGTTACATTAAGAGGGAGTTTATGCAGACAGGAGGGAAAGATAACGGTTAACCCTAGACTTGAACAGGTTAAGGTTGTAGTGATCGTTGAAACATCCTCTTGGGAGTTGGTTCCAAAGAGCAGTGGTTCGAAGCAAGAAGCTGTTCGAACCGAAATCTAATCGCGAAGTTTAGAACTGGCAGAACCAAAGGAATGTAGTTCTTTCGATTACTTTTCGTTGTAGTAGCGATAGAACTGTGAGAGCCTAGCCACATCCCGCCTGCGAGAGAGAGGTTGGAGGGTGGAAAATAATTCCTCACCCACAAGGACTCTGAGACACTTTTGGACTCTCTCGAGACTAGAGAGTAAGGACTGAACAGCTCCCGCCAAAATATGACAACCGTACTCCATTTTAGGCTTGATATGGTGTGCGGAGTCAGGTATTTATTGGAGTGGTACAGGTAGTTGACCATTTTTCCTGCATCTTTTGCGATGGATCGAATGTATGAGCTCTATTTGAGGTCAGGTGTGAGTTTAAGGCTAAATAGTATTCCAATGCACGGATCCTCCCTCTAGGGACATTCATTCATCGAGACCGACGGTAGTTCGGTGTCAATCAACGTAAATAGTTTGATTTTTGAGGCACTGATTGTAACCAGCCAGTATTTTCCGTACTGGGAAGTTAGTAGTAAATTGGAAGAGAGGCCAGCTGTCAATTTCTGATCAACAAGGATTTTAGAGATGAACCCGTATATCGTCTTATCATCAGAATAGATGCTCACAAATGATCCTTACATATTCTTAGGCAGATCATTTATGTAAAGCAAAAAGTGGATTTGCCCGAGAAGTGACCCCTGGGGTGACGCATGTGCTGAGCTCTAGGGCACCAGAGGACTGGCCGTTAATAACTACTTTTAGAGACCAATCCGTTATGAAGGACTTTATAATTGAGAAGATGAAACCGTTTTTATGAAAAACATCAACGTCAAAGTCCTTCAATTTTGCCACATTCTCACAGAGTATAACTGTATCTCATCTTTTATTATTTTCCAAAACAAAAACAAAAATTGCATCTTGTGAAACTGTTTGAATATCTTCATGACAAAAATTCGCAAAATGACAATAAGTGACATGACCAAAAATTCAATAACAAAATTAAACGTTAATATATACGAAAATATAACACAGGAGTGAAAACACACCGAATTGAATATCCTGGTTAAGACGATAATCTACAATTGCGTCCTGGGTAAGACGATAATCTACAATTGCGTCCTGGGTAAGACGATAATCTACAATTGCGTCCTGGGTAAGACGATAATCTACGTCCGACGGCAAAGCCTCTGATCAGGAGGTTTTGAGGAGCGTAGAACCACCTTTAATTGCTGGTGTTCCCAGGTCCACTCTGACCCGGGGTGGTAGCACCTGTTAGGTACCCAGCTATGGCCAAATAGTTAACACCTAAATTGGGATCAAAACACTTTGATAATGTAAAAATAGGTTTTAATACCAGAAATAATTTTTTGTAAAAAATTATTATTTGAAAAAAAGATTACCAGCAATAAAAAATTTTGTCAGCATTAAATAACCCATTGAGGTTAATATGCTGTAAAACAAACTAAACCAAACCTAATTGAAAATAAATTTACTCCTTAAAGATAGTGACTAAAAAGTACTTTCTCGGAAAATTCTGGCGACTGTGATGTCATATTCCTGCTCTTGCGACAAGATTCTAGTTTATTTTAATTCGAATTTAAACCTACCTTTCTGTCTTTGAGAGGAACTAAAATTTGATTAATGACCTTAAATTATAGTAAGGTAAGATTGCTTTGTAGGCAGAGATTTTAGTATCAGAAATATCAATCGCAAGTTATTTAGGATCTTAAATCAGATAAATTTGAATGACCGAATGATTTAATTTAAATCTGACATACAGACCAAAATATCGGGTAATAAATTTATAATCTTGATCAATCAGTAAAAAAAAAAAAAAAAAAAAAAAACTTGTAAAGAAATAAGAAAAATGATATAGAATTGTATCAAATATATCAGTATCTGACAGTATTGAATGAAAAGAATTAATGAAAAATATGCAAATGAAGCACACAAAAGAGAAATGGGGTAAGACAAGGATGTGTCTTTTAACCGGACTTATTCAACCTATATACCGAGGCGATTCTGAGAGAATTAAGGGTCCAATCAAGAGTTATTATGGCGGTAACAATGTTAGCAGCATAATATATGCAGATGACACAAAATTAATAGCAACCACGAAAAGGTAACTATTGTGGATTCCGAGATGAAAATTCGGTCTCCAATGAATGACAAAAGCAAAAATTAAATATAAGAAATTAAATGTATTTACACAATAATACAAAGGGTAATACTGTTAGTAAATCCAGGAATGCGGTTAGTAGCAATAACATATAGATTTATACAGTCTCGAAGTAGGACTTCCTTAGATTCTACGTGCTTGTAACTGAGACTTCTACAAGCGGTTACCTCACACTATTACTCTACCTCCAACTCAATCACAATCTCAGTTTTCTTACTATCTCACTCTGTATTCTATGACTGACTGTGGGTATTTAACGGCAGCAGTCCAGGTACACTGGTAGAGTCCACTTATATGAAAAAGGGGAGGACCCCTTAACAGTAACTACAACTCCTACAGAGTGTAGTGATGAAAATCAAAAAGAAAGGGCTGAGTATCAATTGCAAGAAGACCTATCTATCTATCTATCTATCTATCTATCTATCTATCTATCTATCTATCTATCTATCTATCTTTTCTCCATCAAGACATTCATTTCTGTAGTTCGCTGCTACCAGCAAGCAGAAAATTATTTTTCTCCTGATGATGGGCATGTTAACCGAAAGTAGTCGAAGAATCTAAATGAAATAATAATAAAAACGAAGGAATATTAATATGCGACCCAGAGTGTCTGAAGATTTTAATATTTTTTATTGTTCATATATATATATATATATATATATATATATATATATATATATATATATATATATAAAGTGAACAGTCTGTTTCATGCTAGATGCAATCGTCAGGCCTGAGGATTGCATCTAGCATGAAACAGACTGTCGCCTCTAAATGTTGACTTCTATGTTCACTTTTATATTTACACACGCTCTATCTCTGATATTGAGCACTTTATCCCATAAATATACCACATCTTAAGGCTATATTTTTTATATATATATATATATATATATATATATATATATATATATATATAGTGAATTCATGTTATACTGGATATATATATATATATATATATAAAGTTGTATCTTCTGTTTGTTTGTTATCGAATTCCTCCTACAGTTTAAGAGATAGACCCCCATAACCATATATATATTCTGGAACTAGAGTAACCAGGGTACTTGGATAAGTTTATTTCATTTTGATCAAAGGGGTCATCAATTCATTCAATCCAGTATTACATCAAAAACATATCAAAGGTGTCAGATAAAGCAGTTTTCCCACAAAACACCTCTGAAAAATATTCCCTTTTATTTAAATTAAATTTAAATTTGAACAAGGGAATGACTCCTAACCAAAATATAGAAGGAGAAAGCCAGAAGATGGAGGTCACATCAGCAAGATCATTGAGTAATATTGAAATGCATCATTTTTCTCCACAAATTATATGAATGATTTAAAATCAGTCATCATTTTCTTCCAAAAAATGTGTGGCACTCAGAAAGGTGGGGGTAACTCGGCTAGTTCATAATAAGATAGCGTATCTATGAAAACTCCAGAAATATTTAGAATATTATATTTGATTTATTAATTTGTATCCTAAGTGGAGTAGAATTAAAGATACATGACTCAGTTTCTAAAGGGAAGCTCCGTAGACATCTTTGATATAAGAAAATGATATTTACTGTTGGGCATAAAGGGAAATTGAATTCTTGCATGCTGTAATCTGCAGACGCGAAAGAAATATTTCCAAAATCATTGATATTTCAAATTCTGAGTAAATCCTCCAGTAAAAAAAAAAATCTCTTTGCAATAAAAGACACGATTCTATAAGTAGTGAAATTAATTCTACTTGCAGAGAAGCAGAAAAATGAATGTACATCTGTTATGTTCGTAAGAAAAAAAAAACAACTTTGAAGGTAAGATGCTTACAAACACCAATCAAATTATAAGGAAAATAATCTTATAGGAGGATTGATTGTGACATGTCTCTTTATGACTGATCTCTTATTATTATTCTATATGCTCTCACCCATTGGCGACTATGGGCCTGCACAATTTCCTGTCCTTTGTAGCTCTTTATAAATAGTCTTTTTATTATCTCTCCTAAACAGTTTTCCACTAGCCATTTACTCAAGCTCGCTAGGTAGAATATGCTCTGTTTCCTGTCTCTCCCGCTTGTCTTCAATATATCTTGTGAGTATCAAATTTTCCAAGCATTCTTTCCTTATTATGTGTCATAGAAATTTAGATGTTAACTACAAGAGTCCTTTTCGTTTTCATTTTTCTAAAACTGTGCCGTTGCTCAAGTGTTCGGTCTATGGTATGCTCAGCATCTTTCTGTAGAACCGCATTTCTGTTGCTTCAAGCTTCTTCTTAATCTCTGAGGAGATTGTCTATCGTTCACTGGCGTACAGGAGGACTGAGATTACATAAGGGTTCAATACTATTTTCTTTCATTCTGGTTTGGTTTCGTTTATTTTGTTTTAAGGCCTATCAACACTTCAATGGGTTATTTAATGCCGACAAGATTTTTATTGCTGGTAATATTTTTTTCAAAAATGTATTGCTGCTAATATTTTTTCCAAAAATTCATTATTGTTAATAACCTTTGGCAAGAATGTATTGCTGGTATTAAAACCTATTTTTACACTTTCATAGTGTTTTGACCCTAGTTTGGGGGTTAACTATTTGCCCATAGCTGGGACCATAACAGGTGCTACCACCCTCGGTCAAGGTAAACCTGGGAACACCAGCAATTAAGAGGCTGTTCCACGCTCCTCAAAGCCTCCTGATGAGAGGCCTTGCTCTTGGATGCAGTTTATCGCCTTACCCAGGACGTCTTTTTTTCTAACGTTATTTTTCTGTTTCTTAATACTCTGCTTGGATTTTGGAAGGCTTCTTTCGACATTGCAATGCGCTTTCGGATTTCAGTGTCGCACTTTCCACCGCCATTGAGAAACTTCCAAGCTATTTGAAGTGTTGTACTTGTCTGATTTTTGTATCTTCAGTTTTAATTTGCATGTTGGAATTTGGCTTTTGCTAACAACCATGCATTCTCCCTTCTCGATGTAACAGATCACAGATACATGACGGCTCAGTTCTAAACTTTGAAAGTAGCTCGTCGGAACAGTTGCCGTAAAAATATTTGTAGAAGAGACAAAGGGAGGCCACAGCACCTCTGTGGGATGGCGATTGTAGACTAGATGCCAGATCAGGACCTATCATCTTGCATATTCATCTCTAGATTTTGTCACCAGACTATATATGACAACAATATTCCATGCAAGGAAAGATGATTGATTTATAGATTTGAAGGATGAATTCAGACAAGAAAAAACTGTCTGACACGACACAGAGAGCCATATTTCCTTGCGGTAGATGAAGCTACTGATTCAATTGACAGCATGAGACCAAGCAGGCGTAACGAGACGCTTTCAAAGAGTTTGGAATCAGTCATTCTGATGAGAGGCAGGAAGGGAACTCTGTGGTGGGTAAAGTAGAGCAGTTTTGTTTAAAGTTTACAAGCCATTTCCTGCCCCAGTCAACCACAGATTGGAGATTCTTTTCGATATCAGCAGCCAGGTTAGTTTTGTCGACGATACTAGATTTACTATTGATGCAAGAATGGTGTCGTCCGCGTAGATGTCAACTTGAGAATTGATGACATCGGGAAGGTCATTGATGAAGATTAGGCACAGTGTAGGGTCCAAGATAGAGCCTTGGAGGACACCAGCGTTCGTGATAAAGGAGCCGAAGGAGAACCCGTTTAGGCCGACCTTCATTTTACGTTTTGACAGGAATGATTGTATTAAGTCAAATAATCGTCCTTTATTACAGTATCCCTGAAGCTTACGAAGAAGGCCAGGATGCCAAATCCTATCAAACACTTTAGAGATGTCTAGAGCCAGGGCTCGAGCGTCTCCATTATTGTGAAGTGCTTGGTATACAAATTCAGTTATGGCCGTGAGCACGTCAGCGGTAGATCGAGCAAAGCGGAAACCATATTGCTTGTCGGAGAGCAGATTATGTGAGGTAAGGTGCTTAACCACTACAGCATTGACCAAAGCCTCGAAGACTTTACCGAAGAGTGGTAGGAGACTGATAGGATGGTAGTTAGAAGGGTCACCAGTTTTTAAAGACAGGCACAACAGATGATGACTTCCAATAAGCCGGAAAGCAAGAGACGGTGAGGCAGTAGTTGTAAAGATTAGAGAGGACATGAGCCAATTCGGGAGCACATTTCTACAGGACAATGGCCGGTATCCCGTCCCCAGAAATTTCAGAAATTTTTGATATTATATTCTTACTTTTGAAACAAGATTGCAGTTTTTGTAATTCAAATGCGCAACTATCTTCTTGTTTTTTGAAAAATGCAAAATTTTAATTCGGGAACATTTTTATACATATTTATAAACATTTCTTTATTTACACGCGAACTATTTTCCTCATCCAAGGACTAATGTATTAGAACGTATGTTCATGAATCGGATGACAGCAATTATGTGTTTATTTCTTGGGCGGTAGTGTTTTTTGGGGGGGACTCGGTGAAAAAAAAGGCGCGCAATAACTGAGACGTAGTAAAAATCAAAATCAAACGGGATATCTCTAGACATGGTTAGTGGAAAGAGAACTATGTAGATTAAATAAAAGTTTCAGTTAGGAGTTCCTTGTAACTCAGCTAATCTAAATGCATCTGATGAAAGCCGGAGGACAGAACGGCCCAAACCTTGGGGTAACAACATAAACAAAGACGAGAACAATAACCCGAATATAAATAATTATCCCTCCTCGTCCCAGAAATTCCGATAGAGATCTTGGTTTTGGAAATATTAATCTGAATTTATTTAGGACCGTAAATCGGATAAGTACATATAAGAGACTGATATATTTTTAATAATCGGATATAAAGATGAAAAGGCATCGATTGTAAACGGAATAAGTGTCGTTAAACAAAAGTTACCCTATCGCGTTATCCTTCAGTACTTAAAAATATGAAGAAAGAAACCTTACAACTTTTGTTCCTGGGTGGTATAAAAGAAAAATTGGTTTATTTATGAGTCAGAAAAAAAGTTTTACTGGGAAAATTATTAAAATAAGTATTATTTGAATATGCTTAATAATAAAAAATAATATTCAAGATCTTTACGGTGATTATGAAATGTTACTAGCTTTTTTCTTTTTTTTTAAGGTAATGAATGTTACAAGTAGTTTTTGTTTAAACACACGCCATTTTGCACATCAGTATATATAATATAGAGAAAGCACGGTGGAGTAATGGCTCCGATTGAAGAATCGAAGAGACGAGTTCGAATTCCAGTCGAATTCCTTACATTCACTTATGGGCTAATACCTTTAGGAAAGGTATGAATTCTTTTCCTCCCCCTGGCCCAGCGATGAGTGAATAGCAGGACAGATCTTGGATGGTCTACCGCAGAAAGAAATAAAAAAAAACTGCCTCGTCTGTATCGAAAGGTACATAATCGCCAAAGCGTGTATTACACATAGCACATAATATACTGATGTATAATTAATAGAAGATAACTCGTTAATTTTAAGAGTGTTTAATTAGTTTAATTTTAAAAATGCGTTATATAAGC